AACTTTAAATTTTTGAGGGGCGAGCGCGCGACACATGCGAATCTGTAATACTGTCCCTCTTGCTCTATCCAATACGAGGGTCGCCCAGCCTTTATGGGCGGAGGGGCAGACGATGGTGCTCAGAGAGTGAGGGAATGCATGCTCACCGAAGACAAGTAAAACCTGTGCTTCGATTTGAAACGAATTGAAACGAATGTATTAAGATTCGAGGGATTATTGAGAAATGATTAGGGCCGTGTACTGTTGATTACGAGTCGGCTACCCTCGCCTCCGTCCCAGTAAATATGGGTCACACACAAAAAAATGTATGTCAGTTACGCACAAACAGGACAAGACAAATACAATTGTTTCCAAAGGGCTCGTATTCGCACACACACACACACACACATGTCCCCGTTACATTTCTCTCAAGTTCAAAGGGTCCAATATCATCGCGACTCGGCGCCGTATATCGACACGGAGCTGAATGGAACTTTATTGCGGCAAAAGCACCGCAGGAGGGGAGGGAGGGGCGCTGCCGGAGGGCGCAGTCCCCGCTGCGGGGCCTCATAGCCCGGCCCAGGCCCGGCCCAGCGCCTCATTCCCGACACAAAGGCCGGCCGTTTAGCGAGCGGGGCTGCAAAACAATGTTCCGTTCAGCAGGCTTCGGCGGCCCCGGCACTACTGTAGGGGTGCGGCGGGGAGCAGTACATTCATCCCGGCCATATTCAAATAGTGGGGCGGGAGGAGGGGTGGGGGGGAGGTTGTCCGACACGGAGAGGGAGGGGAGGGAGGCGCAGGTGAGCAGGGCGCGCGGCGCGCCTGGGGCCACTCGGCAGCAAGGCAGTCCCGTGACACAGCCGAGTGCTGCATCGGCCGGTCCACCGAGTGCGAGTGAAATGGAGCTATGTGGCCACGGCTCGAGCGTCTCACTTACTCCCGGACTGCACCGCCCGATGCAAACCTCTGGGCAAATCGAAGGATGTGGCGTGGGCATATCGAAAAAAAAAAAAAAAAGACAACCAAAAAACAAGGGTGTTAATGTCGCACACTTGTAGGTGTGTGAATTCATGCCTTTACTGACTTAAGTGTGCGGATGGGCAGTCACACACACTAGATCCTTATACATGGATAGTGCACTGTGTTCTGCATTTTATACAGTCATAATATCATGCACAATTTTATATGCATAACTATGTACATGTACAGTTTGTGCATAATTAAGCACAATTTGTACATGATTATGCATAAAATTTGTGCATACTTCTGTATAAAAACTCTGCATGTTTGTGCACAATAAAATGCATAAAGGGTAATTTAGTGTGCACACCTACAAGTGTGCGACATTGACACACTTGCGTTCCCGATGCTGTGTCGTTGCGCGCGTGCGGGCACAGCAGCTACACCGAGACGGGCAGTGGCGGTTGCAGCGCCTGGCCGCACACACCACATAAACATCTCAGGATCAGGGCAGGCATATAAAACGCCTATTACGCCCGGGCCTCGCAGGCCTCCACCCCCCACCGCGGCGGCGGCCAGGGGCCGTGGCGGCAGCGGCGTCTGTATACATAATGTACGCACGGGGTGCGACCGTGCGACCTCCGCCCTCCTCACCTCTCTTCTTTTGCCTCTCCTCCTCCCTCTCCCTCCCTCCCGCTCTCCAACCACCTTATCTCGCGAGAGGCGTGTAAGTCACACACTATGCACGCGCCTAGAGGGCCTCCAGCAAACTACACACTCCCCCCTTCCCTCTACACATGCACACACACACACATGTCGCCCTTTAAAAATTTTAATGAACAGCTCTCAAAAGAAAAAGAAATACACACGCGGACTAGTACAAAAAAAAGCACTTTGGGAATATGGTCTTAATACAACTGTTATACTATTGCAGTGGCGTGTATAGTTCAAGAAACACTGTAAAAACCAATGTCTGGTATTTTAGGGAAAAGGTAAAACATTGAGGAATTCGCGTATTTGAGAAAAAAAAAACACTCAAATTTTGAGAAAATCTTATCTTATTTTTCCACTTCTCAGAATTTTAGACATTGTTTTTACCGTGTACAGAAATTTAGTCTATTTTAGACTATTTTAGAAACCACACACACAGAGTTCCTTTCATGCAACACAAACGCTCCGCAAACCCACGCATGTAGCTCGCTTGCGCGGGGCCCTTATTCGCAGGGGGGTGCCAATAGTGCGGCCCCCGACTGTAAATAAAGGAAGGGACAAAGTTTGTTAATTTCTGCTAACGACTCGCCGGCGGGTTTTAACGACGCCCAGGCAGCGCCCCGGCCGCACTGCTCGACCCCTAGCCGCACACACTGACCTCCGGGACCAGCCCGTCAGTCGTCAGGTGCGAGTCAGCCCAACGCAACAAACTTATTACATTTCGACAGGTACATAACGCAGCCAGGCTTTTGCCGCCATTAACGGCGTCCAGGTCCAGCTCGACCGACTGTGCGGTCCAGAAAGTATTAGGAATGTAGAACTTCGGTGAGGAAACGGTGCCTATGCTTGTCACACGGAGAGGGGCTTTTGCATGTTTATTGACGTCGTTTCCATTTTCCGCGTTGTCTGAAGACGCCGCCTTTACTTTCCATGTTCTGTTTTGCCCCCCTCCAGTCTCTTTGAAATAAGAAGAGGCGGGAGATACGCCGCACACATTTGTTCTATATCGAGGGGGATGGCCTTAAGTTGATGTTGGCGCGCTTGGCGCTTTGCGATCGCGATTCGCCCGACAACAAGACGTATTATTGCGAATACCGAAGGCGAGCAGCCTGCGCGCTGCGCAGCCGCGGCGCCGAGTCGCGCGGGGCGGCGGAGCGAGCAAGATTGATGGACTCGAGCGATCAGGGCTGAGCAGACTGCATGGGAGGACCGCACATGTGTGAGGGATACGAGTGAGGAATTAGACGGGGGAGGAGGAGGGGGGGGGGGTGAGTGAGAGAGAACTCGCCGAGAGGAAGCGGAAAACAAGCGAACGTGTTCACTACCGACAAGCGGTGGGTTTTTGATTGAAAGCGATGGATTGGCTCCCTTCCATCCGTGCCGTCTGCAATATTGACGGCTCTTTCATTTCTCTTCCCGCGCCTCTGCTCGCCCCCCCCCTCTCCCTCCCCCTCTCTATCGGTGGATTTGAGAGAAGGCGCGGAGATGGCTCAGGCTTCGTTTTCAGTGATCGCCCGAACCCCGGCCCACTCGCGGGGTATAGGGGGATCCCCCGCTGATCCCCTATGGGCTATGGGGACTACTCACCCCGACGCAGCCCCCATTGCAATGGGTTAACCCGCTCGCCCGCTCGCACTCGTATCGGGTGCCCCCCCCCCCTTACTCCCCTCCATCTACCGAAAATTCCAGGCGGTCGGCTTTTTTAGGAATTCACGAAACAAATAAAAGATTATTTGGGACAGAAAACATGTAAGTTGCGAGCCGATCAACTATCATGTTTGTTTTCCGAACTTTAACACATCAGCTATGAAAATAAATGAAATTCGTAGATAGAGAGAAAATCTACGACAAGAAACTGTGCTCTGTCGACTCATTTCCAACCGCATTCAGAGCGATAATTGATCGCAGTCACAGAAACCTCGTGCACAATCTGTACCGGTGACAACAAGTATCTTATTGTTTTTCTAGTTGGCAAACAACATCGCTCGGCTCCGCAATAACGCCTTGTCTGTCATACGGCAGTGCAACCGCGCAGGCCAGTGGCCAGGTTTGGGATCAGAGATTCCTGTGTGTGTAACCGCCCGTGTGGTACACACCGTTCAGCATTGGCCCCTTCACTATCCTTTTCAGTCTTCCCGCAGATCCAGCAATAGAACACAGTACACCTCGATCCATCAGACTAAAAATGAACACTGCCTCCACTCCCCGCAATCGCATCGGTGTTTAGGAGTATGGGATCATCCGGACAGTTCGTCAGTCATTCGCCATTACGAACCTGCCAAGTTCAGCTGCTGGAAGCTCTCAAAGCGCCTGATCAGTAGGCAATATCCTGCCTACAATGCATATGTGTACTGCGGTATGGCCTACCCTGAGTCTCGCAGGCGCCGAGCTCCCGTAATATTTCGAATAAATATGAGAAAAACGGACGTACTATCTGGACAGATTCTGAAAGAGTGCCATGAATTCTCCTACACAACGATGAGGGGCAGTGTTCATTTTTAGTCTGATGGATCGAGGTGTACTGTACCACCAAAGGACACGCTTGTCCCTGCTGCTGCAACAGTAGGAACCCCGCCAACAGTAGGGCATTTCCTCTCTCGACTCTGGTGCGCTCTGGAGACTCAAGTGTCGAACAGTATCACATTTCTAACTGCAGTATCAATGGAACTAAAACATAACTTCACCCATTGTACTGCCATTATAAGTGTAGACCTCATGAGATCGAGTTCAATGCGCAATGTGAATTTACAATTTTGAATTATAAATTTACATCTTTTGTGAACAATTAGTCAGGGTCCAGTACAGCTGTTTCTCACAATGGAAGCGCACCCTTCATTCGCCCTTGTGAGCCTTGCCAAGTTCATCCTATGCAAGCTCTCAAAACGCCTGATAGGTAGGCAACACCATGCCTGTAGTGCACGTGTGTACGGCGGGTCGGCCTACCCCGAGTCTCGCAGGGGCCGAGCCCCTGTTATTTGCCTAATATATAGTTGCTATATTGCTTCGTAATTAATGCGAAGTAATAGTTCTCTTCGCAGCTCTTTAATAAGGAATCTCTTACGTACTGAAGTGATACACCCAGGCTTACTAATGGCGTATTTACATGTACTAACAGCGAACAGCTTAATAACGCCAACTTATAGTAGAAATCAAGTGTATTACAGCCAACATAATTTTGTATAACGAATAATGGAAAAAGGAAAATATAGAGTGTACTAAAGTGTCGTGTACTAAACGTACGAACTCGTGCACTTTCCCCTGAAGTGAAATTCCCCTCGATGATTTAGTATGGTGCTTGGTTCCTCTGCCCCCACTCCTTCCCCTTCACGCACTTTTGCTCACAGAAAAGCGGGGGGAAATCGATTGTAGAGGATGTCTATCGTCGCGGCTTATGAGACACACATCACCATATGTAAGCTGATGAACTCCATTCAAAACCGTTCTATTAAACCCTAATCTTGCTCAATTCACACAGCCCCACGCACAGCGCCCCCGAACAAAACCCAGCCCGCGGCAACGGGAACGGGACAGGGATTATTGACCTCTTTCATTTCAAATCAAACGTAAAAACTCATTACACCGGATCTACTACACCCCGCTAATCCGCGCCTCCCTCTGTCCACCCATACACACGGGCCCGAAACTGACATGGCGTTGGACCGTGGCCAACGCGTAACATCGTCGAAACAGCTGGCAATCACGGCTCCTGATCTCACTGATGTCCCCGCCTGATGCGCGAGTCTGAGTCCACAACAAGCTGCTGTCCCGCTCGAGCTCCGCGGTTGGGAGGTACCGGGCCGTATGGTACCCTGTGGTAGTGCCGGGAGGCAGTACCCGCGGCGGGGGTACCCAGCACCAGCAGAGGGACCCGGCAGGAGGGGGAACCAGTAAATAAGGAAATAAAGTACCGACCTGAGCGTGACCTGGTGGAGCCGGCCGCGCTGCCCCATCGCCCGCAGCGCCCGCAGCGATCCCAGGAAGGCGCGGGCGTAGCGCGCGTCCAGCCGCAGGGCCCGCCTGAACCAGGCGAGCGACTCCAGCGTTCGGCCTGCAACAGACAGAAACCAGGGTAGAGAAACAGACACTTTCGGCGAACAATAACGGATGAAATGCGGAAAGTACTCCTTAACAAATGAGTAGCGTAGGGCTTCTGCGTCACGTCGAGGGCCACGACTTTGATATTATTGAACGGGCCAAGCAGAGCCAGGATAACTAATACCTGCACGCATTGGCGCTCAACGCCAACCAACCCGCACACGGACGGGAGAATTCCATCAGCCAAGCGAGCGCGCCTGATTCTATATTCCATTCCAACGTAACTATGCGAAAGGCAGCACCCTGCCGCCGCCCGCCTCGGCAGATAGTTTCCCTGCCGCTTTCGCCTTGACCACATCGCACGCTCGTCTATTAGAGCTTCTCCCCCCCC